GGGGTAGTGCGATTACATGGAGATCAGCCAGACAAACAATTATTGCAAGACCAACAATGGAATCTGAGTTTATTGCTCTTGAGATGATTGGTAATGAGGCTGAGTGGTTGAAAAACTTCTTAGCGAACATTCCACTAGGAATGAAACCAACCCCATCGGTATCAATACACTGTAATTGCCAGTCGGCAATAGCTATAGCTAAAAACAAGAATTACAATGGAAAGATTAGACATATTCAATTGAGACACAATTTGGTGAAGCAACTGCTAAAGAGTGGAACTATTTTCATTCATTATGTGAAGTCAGAACGAAATCTAGCAGATCCTCTGACAAAACCCCTAGGAAGACAAATGATATTAGAAACATCGAGGGGAATGAGACTTAAGCCACTTGCAAACAAACAAGTGATGGTAACCCAACCTTTGTGATTGGAGATCCCATGAATAAGGTTCATATGGGTAAAAACAAGTCACTTGTTAGTTCTGATAGCACTAATTTGATTTTAATCAATTATGTCAATTCCTATGGTGTGTGTGAAAGTGCTAGAGACTGCATTATCGAGAGGCTAAACTTTGTTATTAAAATTCTATGTGGTGAAAGAATTTTAGTTTAAACAAAGTTTTTAATGATTTTCATATCCCTTATGGGTAGAGTATGATTTGCAGCATACACTTGATGAAATCACCTATATGAGTGTCAAGTGGGGCCTCTTGCATGAGATGTTGGCATGATCTCTAGAGCACTCATGAATACCGAACACGCACATGGCCTAGTAAGCGCATCACAACGATAACAGCAAGGATTGTGAGGTTGTAATGTGATTGATAAACCTCTAACACACTTAAGTATCTTTGGTTCATATAACTTGTTATACCAACTATACTGTGTGTTAAGTTTCTTGATCTAGGACTGGTTCATATAGTTTGCTATACCAGCTCTAATGCATTACATCTTATAAAATCCAGGATTTTTCTTCTTTTCTTTCTTCCAATCATTGTTTCTTATATTTTGCAATATGTGGGGGATTGTTATTATTTTAATATAATATTGCAAAAAGTTGTGCCATCAAAAGCGAAAGCTTTCTCTCGAGCTTGGATCGCAAGTTTGCTTTTAACGGTTGGTTTTGAAGATATTTCCAAAGTGCCTTGTTGCCAACGTTTAACAACGTTAATATTTATTAAAAAATAATTTTCCAAGAGATTTTTTATGTTATGGGCCTGATCCATGAACTCTATAAATAGAGCACTTCCTCCACTCCGAAACACATTATCAGAATCATTCTTCTCTCATTCTCTCTTCTCTCAGTTTCATTCTCTCTTTTCTTCTTCTCCTAAAAATATTCTGGGTTTATTTTATTCTCTCTTTAAAGATCCTTGCTAGCTCTGAGATCCTCAGAAATTCTGAGAAGTTCCTATTGTATCTTGGGAGACTTGCGCAATACACCGCGGATAAGTCCTTAAAGACAGTGAATCTACACATCTCAGGAAATATTGTTCGTGATTATGTCAACAATTTTATCCAACATAAACCCGTATATAAATTTACTTCAATTTTATACTTAATTTTTTCTAATAAAATAATTTTTAGTTTTAAGTAAATGTATAAAGTACAAGAGATACAAAAGACTATTTCTAAGAAAATTTTCATGTCTAGCACGTTCTAATAAAAAAAAAGTGGTATATATAAACAGTAAAATTGTTCTAAATATGGTACAAAACTAATATATTTAATAATATAAACAAGCACGCCAAAAAACTACACAGTATTTTACGACATAATAAATTAAAACTTTGTTTTCAGATATTTTTTCTTAACCTTTTTGAGGTCACTGACACCAAATCTTACCTGCAATTTGTCTCTGAAAGTGGTCTATAGACATGTGAAAGTCAGTGTTTGATGTGTGCAAAACTCCAAAAATGACGTGGTTAAATTGAAATATGAGTGGATAACGATTGAGACATAAGTAAAACATAACATCTACACATTCAGACCATCACTCACTCATTTTCTCATCTCTGTCAACACACTACCAAACTACCTTAAATTACAGCCGCAATCACACTTCACCACCACTCTCTTCATTAAACCTAATCCATGTTCTTGTTTTCAACAAAGGTCGAAGATATCTATAGTTAACTGTTCCAATCCAACTCTCACTGCATAATGCGACCCACATAGGAAAAAGTCGTCTGAAAAGGTGGAAACGTAAGTGGAATATTATGACAAAGGACTACGTAATTATAATTTTATTTTGTAGCATCGTTTGAAGGAAATAGTTGATAAATATAAATATGATAACCTCTTAAAGCTTATAAAGGAATTTACAATATAAGAAGACTCTGGCAGCTTTTGCCAGCATCGGATAGTTGAATTTAACGACAGTGTCGACGTATTCATCGTTCCATTATTCGCTTACATGTCGTGTAAAGTAGTGATGTGGATAAGATTTCTTTCTTCTTTTTTTTAACTTTATTTTATCGTCATCGTCGTCACACACCTTTTCTTCTGGTTTTGCATGCACTCTTAACTTCTTTAATAAAGATTTGCATCAGCAGCAGATCAGCATGTTTGATACAAAAAGCGAAAAGTGCTTTCCATATTCATTAGCCTCGTTAACCTAACGTTAGCTGATGCACAATTGGTTTAATTTATTTGCACGTTGAAATGGAGATAGGGACGACGGTGAACAAAATGTGAAAAGGTTTCTATTGCATAATATTAAAACGTAAAAGATTAAAAGAAGGGTCAAAGGAAGGAAATGAAAAGGTGAAAAAGCAAAAATGGAAGATATGGAAAAAGTTGCATGGATTTTTTTTTTTAATATTACCTTACGAAAATAATTATAAATATCATTAATTCTTCTCTAAAGTGACTTTAGTCTGTTTCTCCCTTTAGTTCGTACACGTTTTTACTCATTTGTTTACTCTCATGTTTCAAGCTTTTCAAATCAAATTTTAAAATTTAGAAATTCAGTACTGTCAAATTCATTCATCTGTAATCTAAAAAATAATCCTCGCGTCCTCTCTGACCCAATTCTACAACTGAGAGAATAAAAAAGAAGAACCATATAATTACAGTATATGGAAATCAAATTAGGTCACAGTGTGAGAAAACACAAAATGTTGTTTTGGAATTTATGTGCGTGGTATCATTTTTCATATAATAAAAGTTGCATGCATGAGAAAGAAGGAAAGATGCAAGTGACTTGGTGTAAAAGGTGACAAAGTATAGTACGAAAAACTTTAGGTTTGATTAGTAGTCTTGGTGATCGACTAGTATAATTCTTTTTGATAAACTTGGGAACTACTTGTTGAGGAGTAAATATAACAGTGACAGGGACATGGATTTGTTAGAAAGAAAGAAAAATGAAAACGATAAAGGAAACCTATTCTTGGATATGCATTTTTATTTAGAGATTGTTGAGAGACAAGGAAGATTTAATTTCAAGAATGAGTTCATTATATTGAGAGATTTGGTATCATCTTTAATATAAAACTTTAAAATTAATGTTTGTAAGTTTCTTTTCTATACATTATTCAACTCTTTTATTTTTACTCATTGTAAAAATTTCAACCTATATTTATATATGAAATCATAACTAGTTGAATGGATATTCTTTGATGAAAAACTACGAAGAAATTCAACATTTAAGTTTGTCGGTCAACATATGTTTGTCTTACATAATGCATAACTCTTCAAAGTGTGAATTATTTGTCTTGTCTCATAAATTATTTGTAATTTTTTATTATGGTATAGTATTATTTTTATTTTAAATATAAATATTTTTATTTATTATTTTATCAATCTTATATGTTTATGAGTATAATTAGATTTTTCACAGGTTTCTTTAGTATTGTGTTTTCTTGCAGTTCTTTGTTCACTTGTATTTAATAATAAATTATTATTTTTCTAAGTTTATTTAATGGTTACAATTGTAATAGATCTTTGAAATATAAATTAAAAAATTACAAATCACATTCTAAATATTTTTTCTGTGGAATTGACTAAACCTAAGAAAACTCATATTCTTGTACAAGATAGTCCACTTGGACCTGTGATAGGCCGAACCTCATTCTTGAAGCCCACAACACAGAAAACATGAACTTTTGAGAAGTAGATTGATCAGCCTTGCATGGTCCAAGAATTGGGGTTTCTTCTGCATTTTTTCCCCTCTTTTCGCTTTTTTTATTTTTTATATCCTGAAAATTAGATTTTATAATTTGGAAATTAGAAAAAAAAAATTGAAGTGCAAAAGTAAAAAGTGAAAAACTGAAAAAGAGAGAGTACAAAAAAAATCTATTGGATTAAAACAAAAAAGAAACAAAGGAAAAGAGATGTACAAAAAGCAAAACAAGGAAGAGTAGGTGAACTTGTGACAACAGGTATATTAATCAATCTTTCTCTACTTAACCAATCTCGTTTGTCATGTAATGAATTAATTTCACATAATATTTGCCAATAATATAAATTATATTAATCAATAAGAGAATTATAAATGCGTTTATTAACATTCCTCTCTTTGGGATAAAGCAATTAATATTTAAAACAGAATTAAACCTAGGCACTTGCTGGAAAATAACTTTTTGATTAATAAAATGTTTTCTTATACACGAAAATTTACTTGTATTTTATTGAAATTAAAACTTACACACACAAAAGACATTATTTATTATTTAAAAAATAAAACATGTTGAAAGTCGAGTGTTAAGACCAATTCATAATTTATAAGTTGATGCAAAACTCACCTTACAAACCGGTTTTGTAGGGTTGAGTTAAGCTTAAAAACCTACTTTCTAATATGGTATTAGGGTCATGGTTAGAGCCTATTCTAACGAGTTTTAAGTGGACATTCAACTTTATGAACTCGATATGGATAGGTCATAAGTGGTTCAGTAGTCAAAATGAATTCTTCTTTGACACAACACATTTTCAAATGCTAAATAATTAAGCTAAATTTATAATTAGACACATTTGAGTTTGATAAAGTTGTTGGATGCATTTTGGCAATTGATGGAAGACAATATTGCCGTCCGAAATTATGAAAAGCATGATGCAATGCACCACAATATCTCACTTGAATACTGTAAACTGTACAATTGCATACAGAGGGAGGTAGTCTCTAAGTGAAACTGCTTCCATCACCTAACTCAGTTCCCACATATTGTTAATAAAACAGTCGCAAGACCTAATATCATTAGCTTCGGTGACTTCTCACCATAACCATGCCCAACTGAGATATCTACTGCAACTGGGAATTTTCCATTTCCTGATTTTATCGACCTGCATTATAACATAAACATTTATTTATTCTTTACATAGCAACACACATACAAACACAATTACAACATTCTGCATAATACTTTCAACACACCTATTGCCTTTGCAGGTTACACACAACTCTACCTTTTTCTCACAAACAAACCCTATAGAAAATTATTAATATTTCTAATCAACTTTCATCCTACATTAAATCTTTAAGAAAATTATTCATATTTTTTAAGCATTAAATATATCATTTTCAAAACAAGAACCATTATTAATATGGAAAAAAATAATTAATTTATTATACCTTTTGGTGGAGGAGGGACAGAAAGTGATGAGATAATTCGCCGAGGCACAAGTGAAGGTGCTGGTGGCATCATCGTATGCGAAGCTATAGGCGCGTGGGCACGCGCTCTTGAACAACTCCGAGTAAGAGCTCGCCTTGCATGTCTCAGGCGTCGCATAGGGCCCACTACAACAATACCGCGGATCCCCAAAGGCTTCGCACGCGCTCTTGCACGCCACGCTCTCCCCACTCGCTGCCGCCTTCACCTTCAGCTCCGCCGGACACCCTCCGTTCAAGTCCGCCGCGCATCCCGTCGCGGTGCAGTTTCCCCCGCCGCCTTGTGGCTCAACCAGCATTGGGAGGTTGTAGCCGTCCACCACGCTGACGTCGTAGAAATCCAGTCCACCGCCGCCGTTCAAGGTGAACTCCGCCAGTGTGACAGGCGGGGTGGCGCCTCCACCGCTGCATTCCACGGCGGAGGAGCCGCAGTCTCCGGTGACGCAGGAGAATTTTCCAGCGGAGTCCGTGGAGCACAGGGTTCGGCCCCATAGGCGGCCGGACCAGGTGGTGGGGACGACGAAGGCGTGGGACTGGGCGGGTTGCAGGGCAAAGCCGGTGGTAGCGAGTTGCGCCGTTCCGGCGCCGGACAAAATCCCTGGCCAAACCGGGAAGCTACACTTGTTTACTATCGTAAATGTCGCTGAATTTGACCCTGGATAAGTTTAGAAAAAATGGTTAGTAAGAGTAAGTTCTATTATTTTTTTTATGAAGAAAATAATATTTCCCTTGGTATATTATTAAGAATATTTTATATTCTTAAAATTTTGATGGAATATTTTCTCCAAATATGTACATAATATACTAAGCTTTTAAAAAATAGTCCAAAACTTCAATTTATTCTTAACATTATATGGCTTTGTTTGTCCACCAATGAATTATAATTGAACGAAGGATGAGAAAACAATAGTAAAGAAAAAGTATAAACAGAAGAAAGAAAATAAAATGAATGTGATGAGAATGCAGAAAGTGAAAAATAAGAATTAGATGTAGGTGTTTATGGAGATATATATGATTATAACCTTTAAGAAAGTGAGAGAAAAAGAGGATGATGAGAGTGACAGGCAACCGAGTTGAAGCAGTCATGGATGAAAATGTTGAAGGTGTAGGAAACAGGGTTTAGTGGAGGAGGCTGGCTGAGTAGTGAAGTCAATATATATACAGATTCTGTTTCTGGTGTGGCTGCCATGTGCATGGCTGCTCTCAGGTCCCACTTTAGCAGCTACTTACCACATGCATGCACAACACAACACAACCCAACCCTTAACACTATCAGTCCTCAAAGTGTGTTTCTTTGGTTAGCATTTTTGAATTATTATCATAAGCTCCAGATCCAACGAACCTGTTATAAAATAATCACAGACTCAGCTTTTCTAATAAATGTTTATCAGTGGTGTATGCTGACGGATACATGAGATGATGAAGCATGCGCAGGATATGTGACATAAGAATTTGCTAAGTTTTTAAGGCAAAGGAACAAAGATTGAGGTTCAGGTGTTTCAGTTTTTATGTTAATTATTATGTCTGATTTTCTGTCTCCTAAGTTATTGCATTATCCTCTTTCATCACATGCTCCTACTAGGAATACCATAAACCCATACTCTATACAACGCACTTTCCACTGATTCACCCCAGAACGGAATAATTGCTTTTAAAGTTTCTCGTTAAAGAAATCAGATTTTGTGTGTATTCTAAAAGCAGCTTATTATACTACTACATATTAAATAGCACAAAAATATATTCTTCAGATCATCTTATAGATATACTAACAACACAATCTTGTAATGGTTATTTACATTTTCATAACATATCTAATTTTGTAAATACAAGGGGCAACCCGAGTCAATGACAAATCAAGATGATAAACTTAGATGTTTTATGTGATTAGGTTATATGTTAATAATGTAAGTAGTTTTTTTATTTTTTATTTATTACAGAAAACTACTTTAAAATATTAAGATTTATGATTTTCACCTATTAAAACATACAAAATATAATAGGATACTAACATTGACATGAGAGATCTAATAAGAATGTGTTTTTCAAGTTTTGTTCTTCAACATGGTGGTTGCATATCATTCGGTTAATGTGTTCACTTTTATGTATTAGTGTATCATCTCTTTCTCCTTATGAATTTAGAATAAGAAGTCCATAATAACTTCAAACATAATATCATTTCAATAATAATAACAATAACATGTGTTTTCTTCATCAAAATTTGCATGCATAGAAAATACAAATTTCATAAACTTATACATCAAAGAGCCTAGAGTGTCACATAAGCATTAATAACATTAACATTTAACATTCGATATTTAACAATCATTAGTAGACATAATATCTATATTCGTTACCTAGCCACTAAAAAGTTTTGACACTAACCCTTTTCCTAAAGGGTCAACAATCATAAGATTAATACTAATATGTTCTATTGACACTCTAAGTTTATGGACTTCTTCTTTAATCAATTTAATATGCTTAACACCTTCGAAATACTTGTCGTTCTTAGAAAAGAAAACTGTTGTGAAATTATCACAATTAAATTTTTAGCAGCTTAGTAATACTACCAACTACTCCAAATCCTAAAATAAAGTTCTGCAACCAATTAGCCTGAATATTGACCTTAAAGTATGCCATAAATTTTCATAGTGGATGAGATAATGACGAATTGCTTTGCACTTTTTTATGAAATTACTTTTCCAGTTACACATAACCAAATGTAGATTTTCTTGTATCTATATAGTTGACAAAGTTTGAATGTATATAATTAATCACCTCAAGGTGATATTAGATTTTCTATAAATAAGCATGCAATTCTTTGTTCCTTGTAGGTATCTTAAATTTTTTTTTCAGTTTTCTAGTAATCCAATTTCGAATTATTCCAGTATAGGAATGACAACGAATTGGATCAAACATGGATAGTACATACCAACTATCTCACTCACAACAAAAAAAAAATTATTTATTATCCGCTGAATACCTGTTTAAAAAATATATGTGCATAATTTAAAACTTGGTATATTTGGATACCTACAAAATATTTAAAAATAAAATTATATATTTTTAAAAAAAATTACAAAAAAAATATAAAATATAAATTAAAATTTAATTTTAAATTAATTTAATTTAATAAAATATAAATTAATTTTAATTTTAATTTTAATTAAATTTAACTTAATTCAAGTTTTCAACCCATTTTTATATATCACGCAGGCTTGGTCCGACTTGATTTTAGGACTATAAACAAAATGAAATTTTGTGAAGGATTTATCACAAAAGTCTTTAAAGAAAATAAATATTAATAAAATTACTTCAGTCTAATGTTATAGTTTTTCATTACATTAAAAAAAAAGTTGATAGATTCCTCGTATAAAATGGAATGCGATATAATTTCAATTGTCTCTTTTCTCAATACAAATTTTTACAATTTCCAGAATTTAAATTCTTTCATTTTAAACTTTTGATTTTAATGTTTGAAAGTTTAGCGTGTTTCTTAATTTTCTATGATCTTAATCTAATTCTCATTTATTTAAGAGAATTTAACGTATTTTATTATGCCTTTAATTGCCACAATCCCTTCAGCTTCTCCTTCCACTTCAACCCAGCAATATAGTTTGAGTTAGAATCATCAAATATCAATCAAATGGATCTAGCCTCATCTTCATCATCCTTTATCATCCACTAACTAAACCTCAATTTTAAATTTTTTAATTTTTAACTATTTTATTTTTATAAAATAATTTAAAATTATTCAATTTTAAAATATTAGATTTATTAGATAGTATTGACCTTTGTAGATATCAGTATAAAATAATTTTACAAAATATTTCTTAGAGCACTGATACATTGACACACCCAAGTAACAAAAACATTCAATTGACACGTTACTTTTCAATTATATCTTCCAAAATTATCCTTTCATCTTTAATAAATATTAAAAAATTAATACCCACCATATCATTTGAATGTTAAAAGCAAACATATATGTCAAAGTATTATTTTTCTATTTCTTATAAGCTTTAACATTCTCGAATGACATCGTTGTTATTAGTTAAAAAAATTGTATATAACATAAGTTGAAAACATTCTTTGATGTTGACAAAAAGAAACTTAATTAATATTATTAAATAATCTCATGATTGAAAAAAAAAAATACTCAATTTCGTAATGTCGTTAAAAAAAATCAAGGTTATCTTGTCTAGCAAAGGTAACTACCCACCAATATCCTCCCTCATGCATTCCCTACACTCAACAACACCAACGTACTCACAAATCTCCATCCGTCCATGGGTGGACATAAATTGAATTTTTCAACATCCAATTTAGATCCAACAAAATGAATTAAATTTATAATCCAAATCTAATTTACCTAATTAAAATAAATTCAGATTAAAATCCAGATCATTTTAAGTAAGTCAAATAGTTTTGAATTTTTTTAATCCAATTTAAATTGAATTAAACAAGATTGAATCCATTTTGTCAATTATATTAAAATTAGTAAAATTAACTTAATATAGCTCGAGTTGTTCTCAACCAAAAGATCGATCTGTGTGAACTTTAATAGATGGTAGAAGCAAGCAAATTATCATGATGTTGAGTTTTCCTCCTTGAGTCTTAAAGCTTTATATCTTGAAATAGTAGATAATCAAATTCGTCTCTAGTAGTGTTTAGTGCTAACGCTTCAGTTCATGAAAATATGTTTAATCCTTTGCAGTGTGTGACATCAAACTCAGCTCACAAAGTAAATAAATCTCAACTTATAGACAAGGCATGTTATGCGTATAACCAACCCATCTGACATAGACATGTTAACCTTGACAGAATTCTTTTAACGTCACAATCACGAAAAAAATAATTTATCATCTTTTTTATAAGTCTCACGAACAAAACTGGTTGGCAATTAACATCTCTTAATGCATGTGAGTTGTACAAAATATTAAAGGATACTAGGAGGAGAAGTTTTGTTAGCCATAATTTGTGTCGGGGATAAGATTAACGCTCCATCCAAATCAATAAATTAATTGATTAGATTTTAAAGAAAAGACCAAACACCAACAGATGTTAATAAACGAGTCTGCCAGATAACCTTGAGCTGTGCACTAGATTTTGGTTCACTTCTTCAAACAGTCACTTCTCAACCCAATCCATAGTCTTTTTGTCTCTGGAACAATGGACTAAAATATACATAATAAGACAAAATAGGAAAAATATTATACTAGTTTCTAAGCTTGCCACGAATTTTTCGAACCACAAAAACTGAGATTGCAGGTGACATGTGATCGGCAACTACAAGCAAGAACAGCGAACTATGTACGTACATATGAAGATGAAATGCAGTCAACACAATATGTCGGTGCCACCCAAGCTCGAGAGAAATAAAGCCACTCTCATTCAAGATATTTTGACAAGGTATAGTCATCACAAAAATGCTGCCGCAGCAGTTGATGAACCAAGACTCTTGAACACAGATTTTCTTGTCACTTTTTAGTTCTTAACAAATCATTACAACATTTATATGAAACCATATAAGTCTAATTGAATCGATTGCCCAAAATTTTATTTGGTTTGATCACATTTAGGGTAAAAAAGTCAACCTGAACAGTCAAGCATGATCAATTTGAAAAATATTCTGGATCTAAAACAGTGACACCATTAGCTTGGGAAAAAGAAACACAAAAATATCCATGCTTTGCAATTCACTACTTAGGTACAGGTAGAGCACAAACACAGTGTTGCAATTAGCATATTAGGTTCCGCAAGAGCTCAAAACATTGACAGCTTCCCAAGATTTTGCCCTGATAAGACTAAGTCTCCAACCAAATGTATAGCTTGAGAACGAAATAAAATCTGTTAGAAAAGAACTAAGGTCTTTTTTTATCAGCAGAAAAGAAGAAGAATAACGAGCGTGTGTGAAATTTATTACTGAGTGAAATTCATTGAAAATCATACTCTTCTGAACACTCCTTATTACTGACTGAAATTCATTAAAAATCATAAATTTTGTACTTTTCAAAAAACTTTGTACACTAAGTGTGCTATTGTTGCACTCCTAAGTTTTAAAATTTCATGGGTATAGAGTTCAAAAGAGGGATTGATGGAATACCCTGTTAAAAACACGTAAACTTAGGCCAGTAGAAGTGGTGCAAATACCAAATCTAGTAAAAAAACTCATAACACTTGCATTCTAGTGTCTCTACAGAAGCTCAAGTATCTAATAAATAAATAAACCCTTAAGCCGGTAACATGTTGATAGACATTCAGGCGAAGGCTGATATGGAAACCAAACAGCAGTTATGCACTTGCATTCTATTTAATAAATTTAAGGAGTGAAACAATAAGCAATTCTAAAATGGTGACAAGGTGGGAAATAACCTCTTTCTGATAAACTAAGTAAGCGTAAGGTAAATGCGTAAATGTATTTGATACTCTCTACAAGTCTACTTCTCTTGTTTCCAAAACTCAAAATACAATCATGAATCTTAATCTTCATTCAAACATTACTCCCGTATTTGCAAGTTTAATCAAAATTAATGCACTCAATAATCGATGACCAAAACACACAACACAAAAAAACTAATCTTTGAGAAGAGCAACACTCCACAATCTCTTGAGAACTTCTCTCTAAATTTATGATCATTTGATTATGAGCCTTTGAGACAAATAATTCAAGATATAAAATCTCAAGTTCGGGAACAAAGGTAGACTATAAATCAGAAACAATGTCTAACAGGCAGAGTAAAAACTAAAAAAAGAGGCAAAATCGCCTGCGAAGCAGTACCATAGTCAAAAACCAAAACCACATAATTTTTTTTTTGCCATATGTATAAACTTCCCCGGAATTAGAAGAATAATAAGAGAGGCTAATAAGTTACTAACTGTTAAAAGGTGCAAAAAAAGAGAATATGTACTATTCCACCTTTTTCTCCCTTCGCAAAACGTAACCCTTCACCTCACACGGAAGCCTCAACACACTCCCTCGCAAAATGCCCAGGCTTCCCACAATTAAAGCAGGTGCTCTTCCCAGCACCACCACCACCACCACCACCACTGTTACCACCGCCGTACCTTCCTCCTTCAATGCCGCAATCCCTAGCCAAATGACCTACCTCCCCACACCGAAAACAACCACCACCACTACCACCACCACCACCACCACCGACGCTCTTCGCAGTCGCGCAATCCCTCGCCATGTGTCCAAATCCGCCACACCTAAAGCAAGAGCCGCCTCCGCCCCCGCCTCCTCCTCCTCCGCCGCCGTTGCCTCCGCGCACGCAGTCCCTCGCGAGGTGACCAAACCCGCCGCAAACAAAGCACCCACCACCGCCTCCGCTGCCGGAATTGCTGCTTCGGTTGCAGTCCCTAGCCAGATGGCCGAAATCGCCACACTGATAGCACGCAGCACCGCCAGCGCCCGCGCCATTCCGCCTGGAGCCAAATCCGTACCCAGAGCCACGATTGCCGGAGGCGGCACGGGGCTGGAGAGGGGCGCCGTCGATTCCGGTGACGTCAACGGCCTTAGTCTTGTCGTTGTCGCCGGTGGCGATAGCGAACTCAACGCGATCGCCCTCGAGGAGAGTGCGGTAACCATCGGATCTGATGGAGGACTGATGGACGAAGAGATCCTCGCCGCCGTCGTCAGGCTTGATGAAGCCGAAGCCTTTTCCATTGTTGAACCACTGCACAACGCCCGTGAATCTTTCTTCCGCCATGGAATCGGATCGATTTGAGAGCCAACAAACCCTAGAGAGAGCCTCAGCGGTGGAATGCCACAACACAGCACTTGATAGAGTCTCTCTCTCTATATATATTCGATGTGAACTGCAATTCCAAGGATCAATAAATCAAATCCAACCCTACCAGCGATTAATTATTAATTATTCATTAATTACTAGTTATCGATTACTTTAAATAATTTCTGTTTTTTAAATTATCCTTGTTTTCATAAACAGCCTAGACAAGTTATCATGGAATATGTCTCAAATTTATTTAATTAACTCATTATTATATTATCAAATTTTATTAATTTTATTTATACTGTATGTTAAAAAATTCTGAAGAGTGAAAATAAAATATAACAAAATTTGAATCTATATCACAAGAGAATATCTAAAAAATATATCAATAAATATATTTTCTTAAAATAATCTAGTTGGAAACTATATTATATAAGATTTATCATTTTAGTTTATTTAGTTTATATTTATGTTTTATCTTTAATTATAGTTGAATTAATATATATATATATATATATATATATATATATATAAGCAGTTTATTTTTCTTTTTACACATTGTTTTCTAATTTTTTTTTGTTTTGTTCATTTCATTCTTTAATTAACCCGTTATTTTAAACTGAGACAATTACATTTCTATTTTATTTTAAATATAATTATTTTAAATTAAAATAGTTATTTTATTATATTATCCTTTTAAATTATTGTGTCTTTAATTTATTTTTAAATTAAAATAATTATTTATAATAAAAAATAAAGATACCAATGTGTTTTTATTTAATTAGTGCATAAAAAAATTAGAAATTAATCAAATAACGTTTTATAGCTAATTTATAATTTTGTTATTTTATTCAAAATTCAATGGCTTTGCAATCGAACTTATGTGATCAAAATCCAAAGAAGAAAACAAGTTGAATTAAGTATGTGACATTTTTCTATCAAATTTAAAAGGAATCGATCACATAATAATATAAGTACTAGTTTATGTTGTGTTATTAAAAATTAAGTTATTTTATCATTTTAAAAACATGTTTACATAAATGTTAAATATATCGTATATTTTATTTTATTAAGTAATAGTTTAAACAAAATAAGCCAAAATTTAAATCAGAAAAGAAAGGCAAAATTACATCTATTTTAGCTTAACTTATTATACTTGTAAAACTGACAGTGAAATTATTGATGAATAATATAAAAATGGTGAAAGAAAAATTACAGGATTCGTCATATATCTATACAACGAAGGAGGGATGATACACTTTGAGACTTGTTGCAGCATGAAGTAGGAGTTAATATCTATAAATTAATACACTTCCACGTTCCATTGCTCAGCTTTCTTCAATTGCTTCTTGTAATCAATCCAATCAATGCCTATATTACACAATCAAAAGACAACATAATCAATGAGGTTTCTCCCAAAACGATGTAGCAAGCCAAAAGGAAAATTTCTTACCATCTCTGGCAGCCAATGATACCATAATATCATCAATTCCCTTTTCCATTCCTTTCAGTCCACACATATACACAAAAGTATTATCCTTCTTCAGTAGTTCCCAAAGCTCTTCTGCATATTGAGCCATTCGAGTTTGGATGTACATCTTCTCTCCTTGCTCATTTGTTTGTTCTCTGCTCACAGCAAAGTCAAGTCTGAAGTTCTCTGGATATTTCTCCTGCATCTTTTCAAATTCCTGCCTCATACAAAACAACTTCTATCAGTATATTAAAATATCTTTAAAACAAACCATCAATGAGAAAACTCCCATTCTTCTCACCTCTTTGTAAAGCAATGAGCTGCTTGTAGGTACACCCAAGAAGAGCCATGCCAAACCATTGAACTACATATACGTCAAACATGGTTAATAATTAAATGTTTCCACTTATAAACACATACTGATAATGTTCAAAGTTTTGTAATCAGAATATCAGTTTGCCTATGCCGATTATAAAGCAATGGCTAAAGCTTATCTCACAATGTAAAAATGGCTTAATGAATCACAGAAGCTATCAGACTCGGTTAAAATTACATTAAAATGTCTCACAAAAATGGCTAAATGTCCTGGTTTTGGTTTCTGATACATCTGAATAAGGATACTAGATTTTGCAGACACTTGCCTTGTAATCTTCGTGCTTCTCAAAAAACATTTTCCATAAAAATGACCGAAATGGGGCAATCCCAGTTCCAGTTGCCAACTGTGAAGAAAATTTCAATGATCAAATGGTGAAGACCAGAACAATCGTCATGTATATGTACACCATATTCGTTTTCATCTTATAATAAAATGAATGATAGTGTACCATGACAACGGTGGCATTAGGATCTTTTGGCATAAGCATTTCTTTCCCAACAGGTCCAGTTATTGTTACATCAGATCCTGGCTTCAGGTCACCTGAATAAAAGAGGAACATGAATAATTGGTAGAAGAACACGGTAGATTCCATTGGTGTAACAAAGTAAAGTAGCCAAATAAGATATTCTAGCCTACATTGTGTTAAACATAAAAAACAAACTACTCATCCTTACACAAGAAATTTGAGCAGACTCCCTTGACAATTTCTCCACTTTCATTTGTGTACACTAGTCGTTTCACGCATAGAGAAACCTGTATGAAAGCAATCATATCAAGCTAACCAGTTTAGTACACAATTTTGGACTGATATAATTTCTCTTTCTCTCTCTCCCTTGTTATAGTTCAAAATTTCAAATTAGTTCAGGTGTACAATGGGCAAGCAACTGAAGTAAGTTCAGAACAAGACTCATGTATGAAAGCAACAATATTGATCAAATAAAAGCGTTATAATGTTTACAATGTGAAATTGTTAATATATGACATGATACTCACAGTCTTGGAATCACCAAAGTCACCAATGGCACTGCTGGCAATAGAATACAATCTCAGTTTATGAGGTTTGCCATTCTTGTCAACACCGTCAGGAATTACCCCAATTGATTGTCCTTCTCTGTAAGGAACCTCTCCTGAAATCAAAACACCATAACATTAGCTGTCTACAAAGAGAAAAAGAAAAGAGAAAAGTAATGAACTTCGCACCCTCGGTGCTGAAGACCATGTGCCAAGTTTCTCCTGGAGCATCATCTCCTGTGATCTTTGTGTTGAGAAGGCATCTACCGATGTATGGGGCCTTGGGTTTGAACTTGTTCACAATTACACCTTCATCCTGTTTCTTAGACTCTTTTTCAACCTTGGTTGGTGCCTCAGTGGTGACTTGAGCTCTGATGGAAACCACCCTTCCATTGCTGGAAGCATCTCTGTATTGAAATGGAACCTGAGATAGAAACCTTACTTAACAACCCAGATCATCTAAACTGCAATATCAGTCCTCAATTACATCAAAGACAAAACTTAGATACAACATTTTCTTAGCTACTTTTAATGATAAAAAAATTACATTAAAAGTCATCATAGATGATCACAATGAAATTCTGATTATGTTTGTGATGGAAGTAATCAGACATACCTTCTTGAAAATGACTCTCTCTGGGGCAACGATGGAGGTCCTACTTTGGAGAGAGGTGGATTTGGTGGATGGAAAAGAGACTGCAGCACTGACAGCAGCAGCCATTGATGAAACTAGCTAGGGGAAGAAATGCTGAATGAAGTGATGAATTGATGTGAGTATGAAAGAATTTAGAGAAAAGAGAAAAGTATAAGATTTGAGTGGACGAGATTTGGAAGCAAATGCAGTGGCCGATATTATATTAGGATAAGTGTAAGTGTGTGATGGTATCACCAGCTTTCAACTATCACCTTACATATATGTACTTCCTTCGCCTCCAACCAAATTCAAAAAATGTCACCAAATGGAATACACACTTCAAACCAGAAATAAATTTATTTGTTTAAATTATTTTAAAACATTCAAACTATATAAAACTGTAGAATTTAGAATATTAGGGGACATACTGTATTTCTTTTAGTAGCTTTTTTAATGCTTCACTTCTCAGAATAATCACCATATTCATTAATAAGTTTCTAACCTTTAAAACCATTTCATAATATTTCGATCAAATCGAAGGGAAAGCCAAAATCATTAGAATCTTGAATTTGGTTTTCACCACAAAAAATACATATAAAATCTAAAAGCGACATTTCTCCCCTGTAAAAAGCCAACTTGACTGGGCAATGTCTCTTACGTTTTGTTTGCATCTAAGGCAAAGAACGGAAAAGATTTTTCTAACAAAAACATAGAAAAGATGGAAAGGGATTGAAAATGTAACGCACATCCTTACTTTAAAAATTCGGTGAATTAATAAAAGAATGGTCTGAAATCATTAGTTTACTCGTAATATATATATAAAAAAAAGTCAAGTTCTCTAAATTAAAATTACACTAACCATAGAAGAATAGAATTTCTCTGGGCTATTTATAAATAAATGTATTTTTTTAATGTCAATATGCACTTTTTTTTATACATTTTATATTAAGAAATGTTATTGTAAAAATGAACATAAAATCTCTTGCTTTTACTTCCTGCAACCCCACAATTTCTTTACATACCCCCTCAAATTTTCAAAATGATATTTAACATATTCTAAAAGTGATTTCTGAATTAAGCATTTTACAAAAAATAGCCAGGATAAATTTTCTGGAAATTTTGAAACAATTTTTAGAATGAGATTTTCATAACAAAATTTCCAGACAAGATTTTTAAAACAAAATTCTAAACATGCATAAAATATGGACCAAGTTTCTCCAAATGAGATTTTGGAAACAAACTTTTCACTACATATAATATCTTTTAGAACAAGTTTTTCGAAACATCCCTACATTAAGTTATGATGAATTGGAATGAATGAATGTATTTGAAAAGATAGAAAAAAAAAGTGATGTTATTTATTTTAAGGATAAAGAGGTAAAAATGAAAAGATATGACGAAAAAGTTTTTAAAAAATTGTGAATGATTTGATGGTTATAATGGATAAAGGATATTTTAATAGATTAAAATTTTCTTTATGGTTAAAATTAATATAAAAATAAAATATAATTAGTTAAAAATAATTTAATTGGTGTAATTATTATTATTATAATAAAACATTGAAGATATAGGAAATAAAACTATAGAATGGTTATGATAACAACAGGAAATATACAGAGCATTGGTATTCGTTGAGTGGTTGGATCAACGGCCAGACTGTAAACAACATGTCAAGGAAGACACGTGTTTGACCACTGTGCACTTGTCCTTAAATCTACTTCAGCTGATTGGGTTCAAAGATGTTGTAGATAGAGTGTGGAAGTCATATAAAAAGATGAAAATTGATCTAAAGGAAAGGAATAAAGATGTCTTTAGGCTAGTGAATACTAAAAAACATTTAATTATGCAAATTGATCAAATGATAAGCTGGATGACGATGATAACATTGGTGAAAATTTGAGGTTTTAGTGAACTAAAACTGGCTCTAGAAAAAGAAAATTCAATTATAAAACAGAAGGCCAAGGTTAAATGGTTAGAGAAAGGGATATAAACTCTAAAATACTTCCATTATAGGATAAGATGGAGAAGAATAAATAAAGAAAAGTAGTTGCAAATACGTTGAACAGAGTAGTTCCAAAAGTAATATATGGTTCCCATCAACATTTATTAAGGAAGGAAGTCTACTGGATAGTATCCTAAGATTTATCAAGGAGAGAAGTTTCTTGGATAGTATCCTAGTAACTAACCAAATAGTAGATCATTGTACACAAAGGAAGAAGAGTACGATAATTATTAAGATAGACTATGAAAAAGCCTACCACTAAGTCAGTTGAGAATTCTTCACTGAATTGATGATAACTTCCTCATTTGAAAACAACAAGGATAAAAGACTAGAAAGACATAAAATGGTTGATCCTTGTATCATACCTAGGGTAAATCGAACGGTCAGCATTCAGCACCGTTCGGTCCATCCACTCAGGACCGTTGGGTCCATCAACTACGGTTAACCGGGTCAACAAGGATAAAAGACTAGAAAGACATAAAATGGTTCATCCTCGTCTTATTCAACCTAATGTTTCTACTACTTCTTGGACATCAGGTCATTCATAAAAGATCTCTTTCTCAAAATCATGGAGGTCATTCAATCAACAAATATAGTTTTGCCCTTCAAAATCCAAAATCTTCAATGAAATTCTTGGAATGCTTCTACTATTTCCTGGTTGCGCTCAATGTCAAATATGTAACAAAATTGGCCACCACTACCATACAGTGTTAATGGCAGAAAATACAATTTTTTTCTTAAAAAAAAGGGGGTCAAACGGATTGATCCGATAGCCCATCAACTCTTGTAGGATAGGATAGGTTATATTTTCTAGTTTGTGTTGTATAAACAAACTGGTTTGTCCCAGTTCATTGTTAATAAACTACAAATGGATCGGACCAAAAAGGGACTGAACTTATCTGTTTTCTCATCCTACTTGTAGATTTCATTTTCTATCTATGGGTATTAATTTAGTGTAGACTTTAATAAAAGGTTTAAAGAATAATTCTGATCTATTATTTCAAAGAGTAGAATACCATATATATACATTCAAGGATCTTATAATTCTTCATCTATTAAAGGAATGACGGGTGCACAAATCTGCACAAATTATAATAATATCTAAATTATAACTAACACAATATTTGATTGCCTAATATCCTTTAATAGAATATTTGGCATATCTTAACACCTCCACTCAAGTTAGTGCATGGATATCACACATTCCCAACTTGAATAGAGACTCATTAAACAATCTTCTTGACACTCCTTTGGTGAGAACATTAGCTAATTGCAATTCTGATCTTACAAAAGGAAATGAAATTATTCCAGCTTCAAGCTTCTCTTTGATGAAATGTCTATCAATCTCCACATGCTTTGTTCTATCATGTTGCACAGGATTGTGAGCAATTCCTACAGACGAAGTATTGTCATAGTACAAACTCATAGCTTCATTTTGTTTAAAGCCCAAATTTGATAGCACATTTTTAATTCACAAAAGTTCACATACACCTAGTGTCATGCCTCTGAATTCTGCTTCAGCACTAGATCTTGCTACTACAGGTTGTTTTTTACTCCTCCAAGTTACAAGATTCCCTCTTACAAAAGTAAAGTATCTAGAGGTAGATCTTCTATCATCTTTTGAACCTGCCCAATATGCATCAGTGTACCCTTCTACCTTTAAGTTTTCATGATTTGAGAACAAAATTCCTTTTCCAGGAGCGGACTTCAAATATCTCAAAATCCTTTCAACAGCATCCATATGAATTTTCTGTGGGTCATGCATAAATTGACTAACAACATTCACTGCATATGTGATATCTGGACGTGTATGGCACAAATAAATTAATTTTCCTACCAGCCTTTGGTATCTTCCTCTATCTATGCTTGCTAAATTTGAGCATTGAAAGAGTTTATGATTTTGTTCAATTGGTGTATCAGCTGGTTTACTCCCAAGCAGCCCAGTTTCCGATAGTAAATCAATAGTATATTTTCTTTGGCATAGAAAAATACCATGTTTAGATCTAGCTACTTCAATATCCAAAAAATATTTGAGGTTTCCAAGTTGTTTCATCTCAAATTCAGATGCAAGGTATTGTTGTAAACTAGAAATCTCATCTTGGTTATTTCCTGTAACAATCATGTCATCTACATATATAATCAAAGCTGTAATTTTTCCTTTTCCTCTCTTAAAAAATAAGGTGTGATCCGAGTTACTTGCTCTATAACCAAAAGCCTTCATAAACTTGGTAAACCTTCCAAACCATGCTCTTGGGGATTGTTTTAATCCATATAGAGACTTCTTTAATTTGCAAACCTTCATTCCAATTGAATCAGTCATGCCTGGTGGAGAATCCATATAAATTTCTTCTAAAATTTCTCTGTGTAGGAAAGCATTTTTCACATCAAATTGTAGAAGAGGCCAATCTTGGTCTGCAGCTAGCGATAAAAATATTCTCACAGCATTGAGCTTGGCTACCGGTGCGAACGTCTCTTGGTAATCTACACCATAAGACTGAGTGTAACCTTTAGCCACAAGTCGTGCTTTATACCTCTCAATAGTTCCATCAGCTTTATGCTTAATTGTAAAGACCCATTTGCAGCCCACAGTCTTCTTCCCTCTTGGTAAGGACACAAGATCCCAAGTGTTGTTTTTTTTAAAGCTGTCATCTCCTCAACCATTGCTTCGATCCATCTAGGATCTGCCAAAGCTTCCTGTATATTACTAGGAATAGAAATTGAAGATAATTGAATGATGCATATGACTAAGATAACCTATGAGACGACACATATTTACTAATGGGATATTTAACTTTGGCTTGGAGGTCTGGTTCATATTTAACTAGAGGTTGACCACGGTTAGAACGAGGTGGAAGAATATATTGAACAGTAGTAGACTCAGTGTTTGGTGTGCTGGTGGTCTCACGTAGACAAGAATCAATTCCATGATCAATTTCATCTAAATTAGTACTATCAGAGATAGGATCAGAAGGTATCTCTGAAGAGTCAAGTTGAACCTGTGGAGAAGATTGAGCCAATTGGTTATGATCAGAAGACACTGTATTATCCAGAAAAAAAGGGTCCATATTTAGGATTGGCTCACTTCCTACAGAATGATCCTCACACGATAATTTATCTTCATAATTAAACATACCAACATCATGATTATGCACTTCACTTTCATTGTCTCCTTGAAGTGGAGAATCAACATAAAAAAATTCATGCTCATTAAATGTCACATCCATAGAAATATAAAATTTCTTTGATGGTGGATGGTAAGCACGATAACCTTTTTGAGTTGATCCATACCCAACAAAAACACATTTGATCGCTCGTTCTTCAAGCTTTGTACGTTGATGTGGGTGTAAGTGAACATATATAACACATCCAAAAATATGAGATGGTAAATAAACTATGGGAGGAAGGATACAATGATCAGACAACACATCAAAAGGCCTTCGAAAGTTAAGCACACTAGAAGGGGTTCGATTAATTAAATAAACGACAGAGCTCACAGCCTCACCCTATAAATGAGATGGGACATTACCATCTATCAAAAGTGATCTTGTCACCTCTGATATATGTCTATTTTTCCTCTCAGCCACTCCATTTTGTTGTGGTGAATAAGGACATATGTAGTTTGATGCAAGATGCCTTTAGAGTTCATGAATTCTATTAATTCAGTCTTAAAATATTCCCCTCCATTGTCTGATCGAATGACCTTAATAGATGTGTTAAATTGTGTAACAATCAGATGATAGAAGGAACGAACCACATCACATACATCACTTTTATATTTAAGCAAATATACTCAGCTTACCCGAGTACAATCATCAACAAAACTGATAAACCATTTTTTACATTATATGTAGATTGCGGGGCAGAACCCCAAACATCTGTGTGAATTAATGAAAAAGGCAAATCAGTTTTGTTATTGCTTAAAGGAAACACAACACGATAATTTTTTGCCAAAACACAAGTTTCACAAAAAAAAATCAGAAATATTGCATTTATGAAATAGTGATGGAAATAATTTTTTTAAATAACCAAAAGAGGGATGTCTCAACCGTCTATGCCACAACCAAATTTCTTTTTTGTTTTTATCTTGTATGTGATCGTTAGCAAGACAAGCCAACCCTCTTTTATGGTTTGATTGTGAGACATTTTCAAGATAATACAGTCCTTCACTCTCTCTACCACTAGCAATCTTCTCCTTGGAATGGATGTTCTGAAAAAAGACAATGGGTTGGGTAAAACAAGGCAACACAAGAATGTGATTTGGTTAACTTGCTGACGGAGATAAGATTACAGTTTAATGTAGGAACAAATAAAACATCAGGAATCGATAAGGAGGGTGAGAGTGATATAGTACATATACCTTCAATAGGAGATGAGACCCCATTGGCATTAATAATAACAGTTTTAGAACAATTAGAAGAAAAATTAGTAAATATATGAGGATCACAAGTGATATGATCAGTAGCACCCGAATCAATTATCCAATCACTACCCTTAGTAATAACAGAAAGACTAAGGGCAGAGCTAGATATACCTGACTTGGTCATAAATCCGGCAGCAGTAGAAATATAACTCTTGGAAGCAGCGGAAGTTCCAGAATCATGTTTCTTCGATCGGAAGAAGCCATCAGAAATATTCAATGAAAAAAAGCATTAATTCCTATATCGTAAAGGATATCAGTGTTTGGCTCTGATACCATAATAAAAGGTTTAAAGAATAATTCTGATGTATTATTTCAAATAGTAGAGTACCATATATATATATATATATATATATATATATACATTCAAGGATCCTATAATTCTTCATCTATTAAAGGAATGACAGGTGTACAAATCTGCACAGATTATAATAATATACAAATTATAACTAACACAATATTTAATTGCTTAATATCCTTCAATAGAATATTTGGCATATCTTAACAGACTTCCTCTTTTAACTTTAATTTCGTACTAAATTCCTTGTAAATTTTCGATCTTTAATATTGTTGAAGATTTTTTTTCCTCAATTTTTATTAGCTTTAAGCATAAGCCAAATTTAAAAACCTAAAAAAATGAAGAAAAATAACTTATAAAAAAGAATGTTATATTAATATGCATCACATAAATTTCTAGTAACTTTAATAAGTAGTTAATATATATATATATAATTAAAATTTATTTAGACTAACATAATTTTACTATTATTATTATTATTTCTCGCATTTAAAAAAATACTTTTTTTAAGAAGAAACGGGTATTATTTGTTTAGCTGATAAAAAAAATTTCGAAATATATTTATACAAACATGATTTATAAAAAACCATAACATATTATTTTTATTAAAAATCTAAAATAATATATTTTTCAATAAAAGTTATATTTTATTTCAAACTTCCTTTTACAAAATCTAATTAAAAAGTTGCCGTTAAACATGATTATTTGAAAACAAACAAAAATATTTAAAAAATATTATATGTTAATTTCAAAATTATGAAAAACTGAAGGTTTTTGTTACAATAATTGAGATGATATTTTAAAACAAACCAAAAGTTACATTTATGTTGTTAATATTGCATTGGGAAATTGTCATAATCCATATCTAGATAAGCTTGACAAAGTGTTGAGAGCTATGTGTGATGGTGCTTGATGATCAAACAATATCAAAGGAGGCGATTCTCATAGAGAGCAACATTTATTAATTTTTCCATCAAAAGAAGGATTTCGGAAAATGTTTTTGTTCAAAGTCTATTTAACCTTAAGTTAGAACATAGAAAAAGAAAAGGTTAATTTTGGATCTTTCACTAAAAATCTAGTTATACCGTTAGATACAAATTCAATTCAATCTTAAATAAACTTATCCAACTTTAACTGATTTTTCACGTATTTGTAAAAGTATAGTTTGTATATAATTTCATTCTCAAGTATGTCGAAGTAGTCATTCTTTGTAAATCGTCTTGAAATCATTATATTTGTGATAGTTTATTCTCTAGATTTAGTTAAATGTACTGCAAAGATTCACAATGAATTATGAAAGAAATTAAGAAATTTCATACTTGTAATATAAATTGACACAAAATGAATGGTTTTGAAGACAAATTGTCTAATTGCTGATTATTTTTGTAGCATTATTGCTTGGTTGATAGTGAACAGTACACGAGTGGCCTGAGTATGAATTAGTTGTGACTCCGCTTTCAGCATTAAAACATGTTGGGTTTTGAAGATTGCGTTGGGTATAGATTGATGCACTTAGCCCAACTACCCAGTGCCACGAGGGATTGGACAATAGTTTCTATTATAAAGAATGATAATAGAGCAGTAGAAAGAAATTATAATAGAAAGTGTAGTAAAAATAATTGCTAAAAGGATTAAATAGTTTTTTTAATAAAAATATCATTATTCTCAGTCTTATAGATGAGAAAAGAAATATAAAAACTTTTTTTAGTTTCTCATGGAAAGCCGAGTTCATTTAGACATCAATTCTATGAATTCTAGCTTGATGACATTTTCTTGTATTAGTAATGGGCTCTGATTTCCCTTGTTTGATTTCACAGTGAAACCATATCACTTTCTTAGCACGACTTTTCTGTATGCCTAAGTAGTGAGTTTCCTAATTGATAATAGCTTCTGTAGTGTACAGCTCCTACGTTGTCTATTCCTAGAATCTTTCCAAGGTCATTTTTGCGATCCCTTTTAATGTATTTTGCCCTAATTCCTGGTTGTTTGAGTGAAGTACTAGCAACACTTTTTCTAGATGGTAGCAATTTATCCACCATTGTTATGTTCATCTAAATTCTATATCAGTTTCTTGACTTTAATTCGGTATATGACAGTGGGAAAATTGAACATGACAAGCATCATGTATCGGCCTCAGTGCTTTCAGTAGAACAAAAATTTGCTACTAGTACAACCCAGAGGCAATGGAGGTAGCGTTTTGTAGCTGTTTAAGAAGGCACGATTACAAAGTATAACTTTATAACTGTTTTCATGATCGGTTACAATTTGTATCATATGAGAGGGTCAACTGGAGAGGTAGGAAGGGGAGTCAGAACAAATGGTTTAGGCAAACAAATCTCTTTATAGTTAAAAACAGATCTGAACAATGGGACAAGGCATTTGATTGTATATACACTCACAAGAGCAATGGATTAGACATGAATGATTGACAAACCTCAAAACCACACCAATGAATTACTAACTCTTCCTATTGATGTAACTTTTGGAATCCTCTTGAACCTCTAGACTGATAAAGCTCAAGCCTGCCTTTGGATTCCTGCAACAAAGCCTCGATGGTTTCATCCTGCGTCACGCTAGGTTGCTTCGAAGCCCATTCCAGCACTCCAAGAACCTCGGCCCGAGCAAGTTCCTCACTGTCTGGCACATGCAATGCAATGTAGGAGAGCAGAACCAGTGCTGAAATCTGAACTGTCTGTTCTCCAAGATACACAAGCTGGACCAAGTGCTTTGCACCGCCTGCGCTTATAATTGCCTTGGAGTGATCAAGGTGGAGGTAGTTTTCCGAGCAGGCAAATTTTGTGAGAGAGATTGCCGCTTCCCTTGACACTTCTGCTTCTCTTTCATCAAGAAGACGGACCAAGGGACCGATTATCCTTGTCTCTGTTGCCCGGAATGTCCTTGCCAAATTCCCTATAGCCTTTATGCAAGGAATAAGGAGTTTTGTATCTTCCTTCTCAATGATCTTGAGCACTTGATCAACCGCCGCCTTACAAGCAGGAGAGTTGGGTTTGAAAGCTGATCTTCTCAATTCTGCATCTTGTTCTGCCACTGCCGTGATCTCCTTCACTGCCAAGGCACAATTGTACTTCACATCTTCAGACCCTTTCTCTAGGAGAATGGCAAAGCACAACAGAGCCCTCGATTCAGTGATGCTCCGACAATTGGCTACGTTGCCCTTGGCGAGCTGCCGGAGGGCTCTTGCTGCCATTGCTTTCATGTAAGCCTTGTTCTCTGGGTCCTCCAGTTCCCTTCCCTTCATGTTAATCCCAGAGTAGGTATAGCTTTGCTGGTGGGACTGATGGCTTTGCTTGCCATTGCTATTCCCATTGGCCTTTGGCTGAGCACCCTGTGGGTTCTGAGCCATTCCATTGTCATCATTGGACTGTTGCTGCTGCTTGTTGGCAGCATGCAATGCCATGGTACTTGTGACCACTTTGTGCATCTGATTTGTGGACTTATCACCCAAAGGATGCTGCATGCGACTCTGCATCAGCTTTTCCTCATCTTCACTCTCCTTTTTCAAACTATTACCATTAGAGTTATTACTAGCCATAACAACAGCATGGATTGAGGTGGGTTTGTAGCTAGCAATTGCGTATTTACTGTGCTCCTGGACGGTTTCGAAAGCAAGATGACTTACAAGCAAGCGAACGATATTATGCTGAGCGAAAAGATCTGGACATTTAGGGTACTTGGCGGCCAACTCAGACACGGCCCAGGCAACAACAGCTTGAACTTTCATAGGACCTTCTTTGAGGACTTTGGCGAAGACAGAGCACACCCCCGCGTGGATCATAATCTCCACGCTCTCAGGGTCACGGCCAAGAAGCCCAATAGCCCTGGCGGCGTTCTCTTGACCCTCTTTTTTACCCTCCTTCATCAGCTTCAACAAGGGTCCAACCCCACCCTCCTCGATGATCAACTTCCCGTAGCGGTCGTTGTCACGTGCGAGCGACACCAACGAAGCGGCCGCGTCAGATCGGTCGTCGAGAGAGCCCGTGTGGAGGGTCGCCACCTGCTCCCAAATGAGGCCCAAAATGGGCTCGTTGGCAGCTATCGGAGGGAGGCCGAGATACTCGTCACCGCGATCCTCCGCCGGAGCCGACACCCGGAGAAGCCACGACACGTCGCCGATGGAATTCTCGAGTTGGGACGACATCTTGCGAAACGCCGCCGTCGGAATGATGCTGAACACGCGCTTCATGAGGCCGTTGGCGCGGCATTTCAGAACCAAAGCCAGCGCCTTGTCGAGGACGAGTTCGGTGTCGGCGATTATGCGCCGCGTCGGACGCTCGTACAGGTCGGAGCTCGCACGCGCTGCTTGTCGAAGAAGCCCCGCGAGTTTTTCGGTCTTGGATTTGAGTTCTAAGCACTCTTGCTTGAACGAGGAACTGGCCTCTTCCGCCGCCTTGGTGACTTGGTCCGCCAATTGGATCGGCTTCGCCAACAGTTGCTTCACTATCTCAGACATGGTTCACTTGTTCAAGAGTCCGATCCAAAACCCAAGTTGCAAAAGCTCGAGCCTTTATTAAAGAAGGGAGTGATTAGCGAAAAAGGGTTGGATTTGGTTGGTTTTGTGGACCAACAATCTCGGCTTTGATGGAGGGAAAACGGCGAGGTTGTTGAAAGGTGCCAAGAGAATGATCTGGCAATTGTCTGCAAGTGAATATGTATAAGTGTGAAGTGATGACGATGATGTTGTGTGCCGCTCTTAGGTCTGATGCGGGGCTTGAGGGCATGATTTGTTGAAATATTGGAACTTGATTTGTGAGAAAGTGCTGGGGTGGACGGGTCTTACAAGATCGAACGCGCTTTCTTCTTTTTATATAAAAAATTTAGCCTTTCGACTGTAATCGCTACCATGACAAGAAAGAAAACTATTTAGGAATTCATTGATTTCTTTTTGGAGAAACTGGTAGGTAAAATGGAAGAGAGAAGATAAATATCTGAAACGGGTTAATAATAGTAGGTTTTCGAGATTTGAAAGGTATTAATTTTGCATGAAAAAGAGACTGCCAGCGTTATCAACTTATCAGATTGGGTCACCATAGATTTAGAAATAAAGTGTGGCCACATTATTAAAAGCATCTCGATTTAGTTGGTTGAGTTTTGTTAATGTTTACAGACAATCCTGATAAATACAAGTGAGTTCTATGGAATGCATATATTCAATTTAAATTAAAAAATAAAACATAGTAATAAATTAAGAGCATTGACAATTAATAGTAAATTTCTACTTTGGTGTTTAAAGTTCTTTTAATAATAAAAAAAAGGTTTAATTGCTTCCTTTGTCCCCAGTTTTGTTGAATTGTGTCAAATTCATCCTCATTTTTAAAAAAAGTTTCATTGTCATCCTCACGTGGTGTAAAAGTTTCATTGTCGTCCTCACGTGGTGTAAAAGTGTCAATTGAATCCAAACATAAAAAAATTTGTGTCAAAGTAGTCATTTTTCCTATATATCTGTGTCTTCCTTTCATACAATCAAGTACAGATATTCATTTTACCTTATCCAATTTAAGGCTTTTCATAACTCCAGAGAAGTGACATATGAAAGGAAGACACAGAGATATAGGAAAAACGACTACTTTGACACAAATTTTTTCTATGTTTGGATTCAATTGACACTTTTATACCACGTGAGGACGACAATGAAACTTTTTTAAAAATGAGGATGAATTTGACACAATTCAACCAAACTGGGGACAAAGGAAGCAATTAAACCTAAAAAAAAATGTACATACTTCGAAAACTTGTTAAGTTTTAAATTATATTGTTTCTTTTTAAATTTGAAAACGTGGTTTCAAAAACCAGACTTTGAAACCTGAAAATTGTTTAACATATATTTCTTTCTCAATCACTGCATTTAAAAATAACAGACGTTTCATCTCCGTTCAAAAGAGTGTGATGTTTCCTTTACCACTAATTACAAGCATAAATATGATTAATCTAAATACAAGTGTAAAGTTTTGAATAAACTAACTTTTTGTTTCTTCTACATTTTTTATCATTATCATATTGCTTCATCTGTCATCTCCATCTTATTGTTGAAAGTGGCTTTAAAAATCTATATGTTGGAAACCTATAACTTATTACACAACTAAAATATTCAGAAACACAGTTTTCAATTTCTTCAACTTTGTTATTGTAATCTTATTTTTTAACATAAACAAGTCACAATTTTCAACTTTCACTATCACAGGCAATTCGTCTCTGGACTATTCTTTTTTTCTATATATATAACATTATAATTTTATTTATTTTTAAATATTTCTTTTCAAATTTTATTCATATTTTTTTATTACTTATATATATATATATATATATATATAGGTGAATCTTTTAACATATGAGACAAAAATGAAAGAATTCTAATATAATTTTCATCTTAAGATGATTTTGAGTTGGATCTTAAATATACAATTATAGTAATACTTGTAAGGAAGAATTAGTTATTATTATTATTATTATTATTATATTTAAATAAGATTGTTCCAATAAGAAAAAGCCATGTAATTTACAAAAGAAAATATATGAAAGAATGTGATGTTTCATTGATAATTTGAAGTTGACTATTAAATCAAATCTTAATTTTTTATTTTATTTTATATAAGGTTTAAATGCTTACTTCGTCACCATGTTAAAAGGTGAATTTCTGTGTTTAGTACCCGATTTTAAAAATGCATCTATTGAGTCACAAAGTTGTAAAAATTGTATTTAAACGGAGTTAATTCCGCGCTGACGTGCTATAAAATCTGACTTTTTTTTCTTCTCTCTCATCTGTTTTTTCTGCAACTTCCAGCTTTTTCTCTTTAAATGATTCTCATAATTACAGTACATCATTTTTTTTCCTTTTCTCTTTCTGCAGTTTGGTGCAATTTCCAACATATCATTGAAGCTTCTTTTAGGTCGTTCATATTTCTGCATTCAAATCAATTTGAAGGCAAAATTCCACCCTTTTTATTGCAAGCTTCAAAGCTCAAGCTCTCCAAAAATAAATGTTCAAATTTGTTTTTATTCTTATGTGATTAAAGCATATATCCAACATATCATTAAATACTTATTTTTTCTCTCTTCCTCCAAGGCTCACCTTTACCAGCACAGATTCACTCACTATTCAAAGTAGTAGTCCGATTCATAGAATCTAACCCAGAACCCAAACCCATCTCAGTTTTACAAATATCCTTCTTCTTCTGCTTCAATCTAAGTAAGCCCAAAAAAACATCAAAGACCAACAAGAAGAATGTTTCGACGCTTACCCGTTGAAACCGAAGAAGGAAAACCAAAGTTGAATAAACAATCAACAGTTATGGGGTCTTGCAGGTCGGAGAAGGAAGCAACATAGATAGAAGCAATAGTCTTACAATCAATGATATTGTTTGTGATGGGAATCCAAGTTGGACATGGCTTTGAATCCGGTGGTGATGTTGTTGCAAGAGAGGGAAATGAAAGAGGAAGGGAGGTTGCAGGAGGAACGACCTTTGAGAGAGATCCGGAACAGTGGCATTGGGAGCTTATGGCTACGAAACAACCTGAGTTTTAGAACATGATACACAATTGTTTGTTGCTTCTATTGTACAATGATACATACACGAGTGAAGAGGTAGTAAAAAATGATTATTTTCTCCAATAGAAGGAAGAAACATTGAAAACCCCCTAAGATTCACAACAATTTCCAAGAACTCGAGCTACTCTCTCACTCAACAATGTATGTTTTTCGAGGTAGAACCATATTAAAACCTCTTCTATTTCTCTCTTGTTTACTTAAAATAAGCTTCTCTTTTCCACGTGTAATAATATGAATCATTTCTTTCTTTCTTTCATTTGAATTCCACACTATTGAAAAGAAAGAAGTGACTTTATTTAAATTAAAGAAGTCAGACTAAAAAATTAACACAAATAAATGAAAATTTTGTACAAAAATTAATTAATACTTAATAGATACAAACTCAAATGATTCTCGCTATTTTTTTTGTGTAAACAGAGAATTATCTTTTAATCAATGATGTTGTTAGCTTTAAACTACAATCATACAAATTTCCAAATACAAAATAATATTATAATAATTTTTATACCGCTTTTTATATAAAACACTTTTATCCAAATGAAAAATAAAATAAAAATATCAACGAAAATAGTAAATTTAGTTATATATTATCAAGGAAATTAAAAATAGATCATATTTTTTTATTTATTTGATAGATTTCGTATGTTTTAGTATGATTAAAATGTATTTTATGTATTATTTTATAATTATTTTTTAAATTTATCCAATATGAAAGCATAATTAATCACATTTTCTTTTTAACGAAATTACATGGTATGGAATATTTTAAACAAAATATTTATTAAGTATGGTTTGCACATTTAGGGGTAGGTGGTTTGATAATTGATGATTTATATAAAATATTATATTATATCTGATTCTTCATAACTTATATATTAGTTATTAGCTTAGAAGCAGGATGTTAGCGGATCAAAACGAGAACGAACGAATTTTGATACGTAAGAAAATAATCCAAAATATTAATTGCATGTTAGAGAAGCAGAAGAGCACGGAGAGTGAGGAAGACGAAAACAGGGAAAGCTGGGCATTGCAGAAAAAGCAAAGGAGAGAGAAGAAAAAATGTAGATTTTTTCGCCACGTCAGTTGGGAGTCAATGTATGCATTTTTAAAATCAAGTACTAAAGAAAAATTCAGCTTTTAATATGGAAATGAAGGAAACATAACTTTATACAACTATATAGTTCTTTGTGAAAAAACAATTCATCTCAATTTTAATAGGGACACATCAGCTAAAAAATCATAACTTTTTTACATGTAATAAATATTGCAATTTTCCTGTTTGTAGTAGTAGTTATATCTTTGTAATAGTCGGAAAATATTCTTTATGCTATTATGTTTCTGAAAGATTATTTGTTTCCTATAACAGTATTCATGGTAAATATGTTTATTAATGATTTTGAGCAAATTTAATAGTCAAAGAGTATATTATTTTATAAAATTCAATATATTAGTGAAATATCTCTCTAATTATTCTAAAAATATTTTTTAGATCATAATATTTCAAAATAATTTCTTTCTGTAATATATTTTCAAGAATAGTTTATATATTATTTAGATTAACTTTTGTTATTTGTGACTATATTCATAGTACTCAATTTTATTTTATTTTTGCATCTATTCATAGTTTGACCAAATTCATTATCATTTACAAAGTAGTCTATATGATACTACTAACTATCTTGGTTCGAAAATAATATTTGATAAAAAAAAAAGAACAAAATAATATGNAGAAAGACATAAAATGGTTGATCCTTGTATCATACCTAGGGTAAATCGAACGGTCAGCATTCAGCACCGTTCGGTCCATCCACTCAGGACCGTTGGGTCCATCAACTACGGTTAACCGGGTCAACAAGGATAAAAGACTAGAAAGACATAAAATGGTTCATCCTCGTCTTATTCAACCTAATGTTTCTACTACTTCTTGGACATCAGGTCATTCATAAAAGATCTCTTTCTCAAAATCATGGAGGTCATTCAATCAACAAATATAGTTTTGCCCTTCAAAATCCAAAATCTTCAATGAAATTCTTGGAATGCTTCTACTATTTCCTGGTTGCGCTCAATGTCAAATATGTAACAAAATTGGCCACCACTACCATACAGTGTTAATGGCAGAAAATACAATTTTTTTCTTAAAAAAAAGGGGGTCAAACGGATTGATCCGATAGCCCATCAACTCTTGTAGGATAGGATAGGTTATATTTTCTAGTTTGTGTTGTATAAACAAACTGGTTTGTCCCAGTTCATTGTTAATAAACTACAAATGGATCGGACCAAAAAGGGACTGAACTTATCTGTTTTCTCATCCTACTTGTAGATTTCATTTTCTATCTATGGGTATTAATTTAGTGTAG